CTGCCTTAAGGAATATGTCATAAAAAAAATTACTCCCCCACAAATAGTTGGATATGAAAGGAACAGGTGTAAGTAACAGTCAGTGGCTCTGTATTCAAGCATAACTGAAAAACATGCCAGCTTGGTACAATAGCAGCTTTTTGGGACATGGAGTGGAAAACATGTCGTTTTGCAGCAGTGACACAGCAGATTCTCCTGAAAACATTTCACCTTGAAATCCCTCAAGCAGCCATTGTCTGGGTTTTGATCATATTATATGATTTCATAACTAAACTGTTTGCCAAGCTTTGCCAAAGCTTACATGCAATTGTATAGGTGTGTGTTTGGATTTTTAAGCATTTGTCATCTGAGCAATTTTAATCCACAGCAACTGAGTGAACTCAATCACTCAGCACAAGACGCTCATACTCAAAGTTCAGCATTAGACGGCTGTTTAGAATTGTTTAGGATGAACTTTTAGGATTCCATTTCATTTTATTCACCATCTAATCTCCACTCATCTGCTCCTTTTATGGCCGAGTGGGCATTAAGTGCTCCCATTGTGTTTCAGCATAACAGACGATCCTCTTAACACCCATACTGCATCTCATAAAAGAGCGATAACACCTGAAAGTGTCCGTCCTTTCAAGGCACCACGTGCCCTTCCACAGCCTGCTGAAACAGTGATGGTCCTTAAGGATGAGTCTTATGACTTATTAACCACTAAACAAAGAGAAAGTAAGCAGACGAGTAATGGGTTTTGTTTCCTGGTCCGTCTGGGCTGCGCTTATTTTTCAGGAAGTTCATTTTCTGCTTGGTTTCAGTTACATGTTGAATTATTAACGCACATGTCGAACATCTTAAAAAACATTTCCTTCCTCTGTTTCTCTGATGCTGCGTATGCCGTGAGAGTATGTATGTATATATATGTATATAAACTACACATACTGTGGACAAGCGCCAACTTGCACTGAGGCTGCCGGCTACAAGTGCTCTCATGTCAAATATAGGCTACTACAGGAGCAGAGGTCACACACAACAGTCACAACATGCTTCTTTTATCAGGGAGGGGAGTGCAGCTGAAAGCCTATTTAGGGGAACAATGACAGAAGAGGAAGGATATTGTGTGTGTGTGTGTGTGTGCTCGTACGTGGTGTTGGAAGTTGTGTACGTGACTATGAAACACATCACGACACCACAGATCATGTGACGTCCAAGCAAAGCAGGTATTGTTTGCAGGGCACGTTAAAAAAAAAAAGAGATGGAATTTCCCCCTCAGCTAACAGGGGTACAACTTTAAGACTTAAAAAGTTACCTTCTGCCACTTGTTGTCTCTGAATTAGTATTTTTTTAAACATGCATGTGTGTGATCTTGAGTGTGATATGCTGCGACTGTAGTAGTTACTTGTAACAGGAGAGAGACAACAGCAGCGTTTTATGGCACCCTAAAGTAAGGTAGGGCAGACAGGTACATGCTGTAAACAGTTCTTCCTTTGCCAGACTGCCTTTGGTTCACTGCTTCTGGGGTTTTTGATAAAGAAGTTGTTGCCTGGAAACTGGGGCACTCCTAGATTTTTTTGATATTGTCAGTACTTAACCTCTGATATGTCTACATTTTAAACATTAACTTTGCTCTGTGTATAAAAGCCTCTAACAATGACTCTTTTGATGCTCCATTGCATAATTATGAGTAATCTGGAGTATGTTTGTCTATTTAAAGCTTGATAATCACAAGCGCACACTGTGTGTTGACATATAGGGTCCATTCAATAATTTCATTTACTTATTTATGTTCTAGCTTTTCAGTTTCATTCTGTGAAGACAAAAATGGCTCCGTGTGACAACAAGGCATTCAATCAACACCACTC